ACAACCTACTCACTCAGTGGTTTCAGTAGTGAGTATTTTAAAGAAAAAACCCACTCCTCTCAAGGAGCCCAATGCTCTCCCAAGCTTACAACGAGTTAGATCGCTTCCAGCTCCAGATGTGATAGAGAGTATTACTGGTCTGATGACATGGTGTGGGTGAGGGAGTGGTGCGCAGAGCGCGCGTTAACCTCAATTACAAAGAGTAGCAGGCAACACAATGCTGATGTTATGTTATGACTGTTTACATGATGTAGGTGGTTGTTGATGAAGCACATGACCTAGCTTTCAAATTGTTACACAAATACATCATTTTATTTCAAAGAAAGTTTGCCGAATGACCTTACGATCCCTACGATGCTGGTGGATAATATGAATAAAAATGCTCCGATAATATTTCAAAATCACACTTAACGACAATAAGTTTGGTAATGAAAACTAGCATTATATATAACTACCTCCTTCTAAAGCCTCTGTTAGAGTTTCAAAGTCACAGTATGTTCTGGAAGTGGGTTTGTGAGAAGGCTGCACTAAAAGAATTGTGTGGCTGTTTGAAGAAGACATACTAATCGGGGTGTTGGTGTTAGTAATTTCAAACAACAGGGAGTATCAACGGGTGCAGGTGTAATGTGGTTCTGAATAAGGTTTTTAAACAGTGATATATTGGTAGCTGAAAATAAAACTTTTTCTTGAATAATGCAACAAAACCGATGTGAGAATAGCACATTTAAATGTCAATTGATGAATAATACACATTCAAGAATCAACATAAAAACTGCAACTGGTTTATTCATATTCTATAAAATATTTGTTTATCCTGTCATCACAGCTCTTGTAATGGATATTATGTGTTTATTAAAATCAATTTATTATATAACTAGAAAGCCCGTGGTAACAGGGACGAAGCTAGAAGTATTCTTTGAAAGAAAGTTTTAATCGCATCAAAAAATATCCATCCCAACCGAAGATACAGCCGATTTTAATGTAAAACACTTACCACAAAACCGATCAAAATGACATTAAGGCCAGAGGGGGGGGGGTAAATGGCACTTTTGTAGTTTTCGCATATTTGATAATAGCTACTGGAGACGAACAAAAAGAAAAAAACCGGATCAAAATCTGACCTTGCGCTTCTGAGATATCGCGCGCTCAATTTTGAGGTTTACCTGTAATTACATGTTAAACTGGAACTTTAAACGGCTGTAACTTTTTTGACCTTTCGATTCCTTAGTTGAGAAAACCGGCCAATCCCTGATCTTGAGGTTTGGTACAGTGGTTCCTTGGACAATTATCCTCACATCTGGTGCAGCGATTTTTTTTATTTGACTCGGTTCTCAAATTATGAGGTTAACCAGGTCAAAAATTCGAAAAATTTAATTGGTTAACCTCATAATTCGAGAAACGAGTCGAATAAACAAAATCGCTGCACCAGATATCTAGATAGTTGTCCAAGGAACCACTGTACCAAATATCAATATCAGGGGTTGGCTGGTTTTCTCAACTAAGGAATCGAAAGATCAAAAAATGTGTTTTGAGATAGATGCAATTTAGTGTTTTCAAAATTTTGAATATTCACTGGAATGTATCACAGTTCGTTAGTTAGGACTTTTTATACACTTAATAACGTTTGCTTGATCAGACCTGGCCGTCCCTTAAATGATTTTAGCCACTTTCAGTAGTTAATGTCCTTGTATTGTAAAAAATGAGGTTAACCAAGACTTCCTGTAAACACTAACTGCTTAAAATTTGGTTGTTAACCTCGCTTTAGACCATATAACACTGGGATTGGTTTATCAATATGTTATTATATATGTAGTAAAACATTTGCACAGTATAATGATTAAGTTTTTGAGGTTAACATGTAATTGACTGGTCAGATATTCAAAAAATGAGAGGTTAACCTCATTTTTTAGCCATTTACGGGTAAAATCTTCTACTAAAATATGGTCAGTTCAAATCACCTTTGTCACGTGATTATAGTTGTAGGTATTGTGATACCAATAGATACCTCACTTCGATATTGTGGTACATTTCATAAGTAAGAATCGTATGTATATTCCCTACGGTACCAAAATGTGATGGTTAACCTCATTTTTTTCATTTTCTCAAGATAAAAGAAAGTCAATCAACACGTCATCTATTTAGAAATGTGTATATCGTAAACTTACGATGAAAATAGTAACTCTATCATTTGATCTATTCTCGCTATATCTAAAAGAAGAGGTTAACCTCATTTAATCACGTTTGGATATTACTTTTTCTGATAATTATGAACCTAAAATTTAGAGTTTACATTTGCTGACTGAAATAAAACCTCAATTTTATTAACCTCAATGTTGTATATTCAATTTTGTGAAAATCGGTTAACCTCAATTATAAAATAAAGTTAATCAGCTACAAATATGTGAATAGCAGCAATGTTTTTGTCATCAAAAATTAAATCGATTTAGAAAATAATATTTTGGTAGAAATTTTTGACCCCTTACCCCCCCCTCTGGCCTTAAAACAATCTTTGCATGTGCATGTGTGCATTAAAACACCATTGCTATGGAAAGTTTTGGTCGTTACCTAAATTCTTATTTCTCATCTGATTTGCACGTGGGCGGTTGTACAGTGTACGTACAAACAAAAAGAATTCTCTGAATTGTAAGTAAGATAGTAATTCAAAATGGAATATTATCTTAACTTATCGGACACATCGTCCTCATCAGACTTATCGTCCACTTCATCATCATTTACGTCGTCAATTAAATAATCTGGTAAGTTTGGCAACATTACAATAAATTGGTAATACTTTCCAACCTCATAACCACAAACTGGCAAAAAGCTCAAATCTACAAGTACACCATTTCGTTTTATAGGTCTTTCACACAAAAATACATATATCTTTTGCTTTGAATTTGCTGTGATAGTGGATAGAATATGGCGGGCAATAAGTGGAGTCAGTACAGAGGACCATTATAATACCATCATTACCAGCAATAGTTTTTTAAATAAATCCACAATTACCTTCCTTAGAAAAAGTTTTCATTTTAGGGTATTTGAAGGATGTGATTGTTGATCCAGGAGTGAAAATATGATGAATATCATCTCTAGCCACACCATCTGAACCATCCATCACAACTTCAAACCATCGGCACCCTGGAACACAGTCATCTGATGAGCAAAGATTTGTACATTCCTTGACTTCTTCAAAGAAAGCCTTTGAATACACTGATATGGGTTCAAAATCAAGGATATGTTTGTCATTTTGATGGATTGCATGCCAGTTTCTCTTAATTCTGGTCTCATTTACTGCATTTAGGAATTTTGGGGTACATTTATTCATCATGGTATCTTTATTGGCCCACATCCAGGTCCATATACCTAGGTCCATATACCTAGGGGATGGCGGCTTCTCTAGGATCTAACACGTCCTGAAGCAGACCAACACTATGTCCCAACGCACTGGTGTTGGGATGTCTGCCCCCGGTGCCTGTCCGGGTCAATAAAGCAGTCAAGCGACATGTATGTTATGTTGAGCATTCTCAACCAACAAATGTGGGAACTCCCACGAAAGACCAAAACAGATCTAAAGAGACACTTAACAACATTGGAAAAATAGACTTTAATTTGTTTATATAATTTATAAAGCGTATATTATTGCCCACGTTAAGGGGCCTGTTAATAATTTATTAAATTATTAGCTATTTTAGATTTAATAATAATAATATACCTTCAAAGAACATCAATCGTTTTAAAAGAATGTCAAACACATTTTCGAAAATATCGATACTCTGTCCTTGACAAAAAGACAAATTAATATTCTCAAGGCGGTACTTGCAGTTGGCTGGAACAATTGTTTCTCCTCTAGAAAGCTGTGCTGCCAATTATTCTGTTAATGGGTGAACAATGTAATTCACCTTAGGTCCAGCTAGATCTGTAATTAAATCTAGGCGTTGACATGACAGAGAAGTCATGTCCTCAGGATGCCTTTTAGTGAAATTCTGTTCCCCATTTAGTGATCTTATTTTATTTAGAGCTATTGATACTAGATGATGCGAATTCAGAGTGGAGAGGGCAAATGCTGCCTCTTCAAACAAGAAAATCAAATCTTCATACAAAGGCTATGTAATAACATCTGCAATCTTTGAAAATTGTTCACCACATCTTATGACCAGCCATGACATTTTAAACACGTTGACCATTTTGTTGATATCTCGGAAGAGGACTCTAGAAATTGATGGAGTTTTTTCCCAATATATACAAAGGCTCTGTAATACTTGTTGAATCGTTGAGACAAAGGATACACTCTAGTGATGAAACATTAAAGGCTAAAACAGTAGCAATTGGTTAGTAATATATATATAACATAAATCAACAATATAACAGTCCTCTTCCGCGGGCATTAGGTTGGTCAGACCCAGACACGAGGTAAACTCGCGCGGCTCAGCGCGCGCGCCAAATTTTATACAGGTTTGCTGCAAACTTTTTGCGCTGACCAACCAAATGTCGTCACGCGTTCCATACACGTATAAAATACTTTGCGGCCAAATATTGGCACTAAACTTTCACTGTCTCGAACACCGAGACACACAACTTCTCTCTCCCCACAAATAAGATTTAAATCAACCCAAAATATTGATCTCATTTGTTTCCATTCTCAAACGTGTTAAAAAGTAAAATATGTATCAATAAAATGTCAATAATCACTCGCTTTGACAGTTCTTGTCTCTAATGAAATTGTTAAAAATGGTATAAAACAGATTTAGAAATTCTTAAAAAAATTGTTCTATTCCCGAAAATGATAACTCAATAAATGGTAAAAATAGTGACTCTGCATGATTACAATTAAAATGACAATGTTGGTGTGACACAATTACAAGTTATTGATTAAAATTACACAATTAAGTCATGCCCTTCATTCTAATAAGAGCGGCACTTTTAGCACTACGGGTGGGTCTAACACTCGGTTCAGCTAATAACGTACTGACTGTGGGTCTAACCGACTCCGACACACAAACTTGCTTACCGTCGGTCTTGACCGGGGAAGCACGAACTTGCTTACCTTGAGACTTTACCGGGGACGCAGTTTTTACCGGAGAAGATGGTTTTTCCGCGGATTGCTGTTCCTGACCGTCACTAACTCCCAGATTTCTCAGTCTCCGTCTTTCCAAGGTTTCCTCCAGCCTCTGGAACTTTACGTTAGAGCGAGCTAGATCTCTGGTTAACAATGATCTCTGTGCAGCTGGAATTGTACTCCTTTCCATCTGGATTACCGGGGTGTGACAAGCTTTAATAACGTCAGCATGTTTCTTTACTATCCTGTTTCCGCACTGGATGTCGTAATTGTTAGAATTTTCTCCGTATTTCTTTATCACTCGAGCTTGTATCCAGGGACTCTTGTCGTCCAATTTAACGAAAACGAGCTGATTTTCACGGAATTCTCGAGTTCTAGGGTGCTCATTAATCACGTCTTGCAGTTTCTCAGACTGCAACTCTTGTTCTCTCATACGATCAGAAGGTTTGATCTGATGTAGCTTCGACCGTAGAGTTCTGTTAAACGCCAACACAGCCGGAGTTTGTTTAGTAGAGGAATGAGGCGTGTTGCGATAAGTCAACAGAAAGTCATTAAGATTTTTGCAAACGTCCTTGCACGTTTCTGCCATCTTAGTCATAGCATACTTCCAGCTCTGCACCAGACGTTCACAAATACCATTGGATTTTGGTGAGTAGGTGGGAACAGTTACATGTTTTATTCCACAAGATTTCAAGTACACTTCCGTTTCCTCCGATACGAACTGAGGTCCATTGTCAGTTACAAGGCAAATAGGGATGCCTGTGCGTGCAAATATCGACCTGAAAGCACGTATAGTTGCGCTAGATGTGGTATTCGTATTCATCTGAATAACTTCAGGCCATTTGCTGTACGAATCAACTAACAATAACCACATACTACCTAAAAACGGACCAGCAAAGTCAGCGTGTACTCTCTGGAATGGGGCACTGGTTTTTGCCCAGGGATGGTCAACAATTTTGGTCAGAATCTTGCCATGCTTAGCGCACGCCTCACACGTCCGAGCAGTATCCTCGATTTGTGTGTCAAGCCGTGGCCAGTAAACATACGACCTAGCCAATGACTTCATTCCCGTTACACCGATGTGTGTGGCATGAAGGATGTTCATTACGGTGCCCCGAAGCTTCACGGGAATCACTACACGAGCACCCCAAGTCAAACATCCAAGTTCATGACTCAACTCGTCTCTTCTTGACCAGAACGCTTTAAGATCCCCCTCACATTTTAGGTTTTTGGGCCAACCATTCAACGTGTAGTCCATGACTTTACTCAGAATCGGGTCCTTGCGTGTTTCGTTCGCCACTAATTCAGCGTTTAACAATGTTTCGCTTAGAGTTAGTGTGAACATGTCTGCAAATTCATTCTTTGCAACTACAGGGTGAGCTACCTGTCTAGGAAGCCTAGACAACATATCAGCATTCAGATGCTCTTTGGTGTTCCTATACTGGATATCATACTGGTAGTTCATTAGGAAAATAGCCCACCTGGTTATCCTACCAGCCGTCATCTCTGGCAGAGGTTTGTTTCCGAAGATTCGAACCAACGCTCGATGGTCAGTCACGAGCGTGAACTTACGCATATACAGATAGATATGCAGCCGCTTTATAGACCAAACTATTGCCAGCGCCTCTTTGTCGATTTGAGCGTATCTTCTTTCAGTGGGAGACAAAGTACGTGAGATGAATTCAATGGGACGCTCTTCACCGTTGGGCATGATGTGCGACAAAACCGCACCAATTCCCCCACTGGCTGCGTCTGTATCTAGCTTGAGAGCCAACTTGGGATCATAAAAGGTCAATACACGGTCAGAAGAAAGCAGTTTCTTCAGCACTCGAAACGCTTTTCCTTCTTCTGCTGACCACACCCAAGGGACATTTTTTGCTCTTAATCTTTCTAAAGGAGCAATGACAGCCGACAAGTTGGGTAAATACCGTCTATAATAATTAACGGCCCCCAGAAAAGAGATTAGCTGGTCAACATTCTGAGGTTCTGGGGTTTTCAACAAGCTGTCCACTTTGCTCTGTACCGGTCTAATTCCACTAGCCGATACCACGTGACCTAGATAGACCACGTGATCCTCCATAAATGACGATTTCTCAACTTTACACTTAAAGCCTCGAAGTTCTAATCGAGTTATGACATTGTTCAGATTTATCAGATGCTCCTCGTCATTCCTGCCGGAAATAAGGATGTCATCAATCCGACAACAAGTCATGGGTACTCCTGCTAATGTATCATCCATCACTGACTGGAATATAGCACTTGAACTACTGATACCGTATGGCAACCGATTCCATTGAAACAGTCCTTTATGCGTGTTCAGAGTGGTCAGAACTCTGTCCTCTTCTCTAATCAGCAGATTATTATACGCCTTCTTGATATCGACTTTAGAGAATTTCTGGCCTCCACGGACCGAGTTGAAACACTCCTCTATAGTAGGTAGAGGGTACTCTTTAGTGGATAAGCACTTGTTTAAGGTGGATTTATAGTCCCCACAAATTCTCACTGATTCTCCTCCGTCCTTCATTACAGGCACCAGAGGAGTTCCCCATGGACTATCAGCGACCTTAGTCAGAGTTTCACTCTCTACCATGGAATCGATTTCTTGCTCTACCTTGCTACGTAAAGCATATGGTATGGTTCTAGCTTTACACATCACAGGTTTTGCCTCATCCTTCAAAACAAAACTCGCTTGGACACCTTTCACAAGACCTAACCCTGGTTTGAACACTTCGCTCTGTTTCAATCGAGCGACACTACGACACTGTTCAATCCGGATACAAGTGTTTTTAAACTTCCAACCGTTCTCAACGGTCATACCATCAGTTTGCATCTCAACACCTTTTTGGACACCACTCCCAGAGCAGCTTTTACAGCTCACTGACACCTGCTGGGATTTGTCCGGGGCTACACTATTCACTAACCGGGTACTGAGCAGCTTTTCAAGCCAGTTTTGCCCACAAAACTTTGCAATCCAGGGTCTCCCAAACAGACTGGGAAAATCCTCTGCTACATAAAGCTGCAAGTCACGAGCTTTCTCTCCATTCAACTCTACTTCAACTACTGCGCAGCCATCTACTGCTTTGATTTGTCCGTTTGCAACGCGCAACGTTTTCCTGCTGGGGGTTAGTGTTAAGTCGGATAAACCACAGACCCTCAACGCACGTTTACTTACAACTGAAACCGCAGACCCAGAATCAAACTCCATACACAGAAGTTTCCCATTGATTCTAACTTCAACATACGGTTTACTCAAATCAGTAACATTTATGTCAGAACACAATTTATCAGATATCAGACTTAACTCAGACTTCAACTTATCAGTGGTAATATCATAATCAGAATCTTTCCTATTTAACACATCAAAAATAGGATTAGTTAAACTTAAATTGTCGGCAACACAATCAAAATTATTCGATATTTCAACAGAAGAATTCGGTGCTTCATTTAAATCGACAGAATTCAACACATCACAAGCAACAGGCATAGATTTCATCTCGGTTACATGCACACAATTTGGAATATCAGCACATGGAAAAGAACAATTAGTATTAGATTCCCCATTTTCCAAAACGGTCTCCACTAAATTACAATTATCGTAATACTCAGAGTAGAGCTCATCATCTAATACTCTCTCGCAACTCTCATCCATGTCGTACTCTCCCTCAGCTCTCGAATCCTCGGCTCTCGAACTCTCTACATTGTGCACTCCCTTCTGCCTACATTTCTTTGCTATGTGACCTATCTTGTCACATTTGTGACACCGAACGTTACACTTCTCTGATTCATGTCCACGCAGACCGCACCGACCACATTTAGTTCCTTTCTGCTTCTGTTTACCAGAGTCTTTGTTTGATGAATCCTCTTTATTATAAGGATTTTTGGACATCGTCCTTCTGAAAACGGTTTGATTTTTGACATAGTTCACAGTTCCGCCATAGTTCCCAGTTCCGCCAGACATAATTTGAGCCTCTTTGTTGGCCTGCTCTTTGCTCAAAGCTTCTTTCACTGCAATAACCAAAGTCAGGTTTTCTCTCGCCAGTAAATCTGACACAACTCTTTGGTCCTTCAAGCCAGCCAACAGCTGATCCAGCAACGATTCATTGTAGTTTGCGAAATCACATTCGTTCGCAATAGTCCTCAACCGGGAGATGTATGTAGCTGTACCTTCATTTTCTTCCTGTGTACAACTTCTAAGTTTGAATCGCTGCGCAAACTTCGTTGGAGCGGGACAGAGGTGATTTATTATTACAGTCTTGCACTCTTCATAGGTGCACAAGGTGAGATCTCTTGGGCTAACTAGTGATTTCAATAGCTTGTACATGTGTTCGTCTAACTTTGAAATAAACAAAGATAAGTTCTTGTAAATTGCTGCATTTCTGACTTCCGCATTGCTATTATTCTCCGCTAACACTGGAATCACTGTTGCATGATCTCCTGCTGCTAGGAAAAACTCGTACCGTTCGAACCATGAACGAATACACGAGTTTGCGGTTAAAGGTTCGCACTTACTGCTCGTCGCCATTTGTTGAATCGTTGAGACAAAGGATACACTCTAGTGATGAAACATTAAAGGCTAAAACAGTAGCAATTGGTTAGTAATATATATATAACATAAATCAACAATATAACAATACTCATATTAACATGATTATTGATTTAATTTAGGAATTGTATATAAATATCTTTGACCAAGTTTAATTGTCAATGAGAATGCACCCCAGCACCTGGCGCGCGCGGCGGCTTTGATGATAGCGGTTGACGGATGTTACTCGTCTAAATTTCTTCGAAGTAGCGCGTGCCGCTTTCTTCTCGATGGCAAGTGCTACGAAGTAGCGCGCGCCGGGCCAGAACATTAACAATGGTCAATGATAGCGGCTACAAGTTAGGCAGCTGCAGAAAAGATGCTAGATGCCGCGCGCGTTCAGCGTGCGGCTTTTCGTTTTTGATTTTACAAATGACAAAGCAATTTTTAATGATTATTAATGGAATTATTGGATATTTATAATTCAATATGTATTGATTCTTCTGTGGAAAATATAAATTGTATTATATTTAAAAAAATTGTATTTTACTTAATAACATCTGCAATCTTAGAAAATTGTTCATTACATTTTATGTTGTCATACGTTATATGACCCGCCGCACACGGGTGCGCGGCTCCCCTGTATCGTTGAAACTCTACACTATGGTGAAACGGCCGTGGGATCACGATGTGATACCAATCTTATGACCAGACATGACATTTTAAACACGTTGATCATCTTGTTGATACCTCGGAAGAGGTACAAAGTAGTTTCTCCCCCAAAAACGGAAAAAATTTAAATTAGTATCATTGATCATATATCTGTCAAATTGCAAATATTTATAATAACTGCACACGATTCGCAGGAAAAGTTACCGGCTGGTGGTGGTACTAAAGTTGGTTTAATTCATAATTTAAACAGACGGCTAGACCTTACGCGCGACAACAAGCATGATTTGCACGCGTGGCGCATTCCAATGTTCAAGCAGCTACCACGTGACACAATTCAGCCAACCAGAGTACAGTGTACAGGAATCTGCAAAGTTAAAGTTGCAAACTTTTGATCGGCCCGAAATGGGACTTTTCTGGAGATTTTTAACTCAACAATTACGTTGTCTTAAATTTTCCTCCTGGGAAGGTAAATAACGTTACTTTTAAAAAAGGAACATGTTACAAAAACCTTGTATCACGTGGTGACCCCCACGGTCGCTTCACTATATAGTCAGTGTAATAAGCGCCAAGCGCGAGCACAGAATTTTTTTGTCCAAATATCGTTTATATGTTTTTTAAAGTGTGCGGGGGATACGGAATCATCGAAAACCACCGTGTAGCAATTTTCACTAGCTTAATTTGACACTGGTATTATTTTTTTTGTTTTTGACTGTCAATGTGTAAAAACGTTTTCTTACCATCATCCGATGAGTTTTTTGGTAAAATTTTGATACCAATATTTATCTCATCAATGTGTTATGAGTCCTACATCTTCATATTATAAATTCCTGCATTGGTATGCGAGTTATTTCAAAATGAAAATTCCAGTGATCCGCGCTACGAAGAGTTCACGTTCAGATGTAAGTGTTAACGCATCAACTTTTTACATACAACTGATAAATTTGGCGCGCGCGCCAGCGCTAATTCGTCCAAAAAGCATATGGTTCTTATTCTCAGTAAACAACAAAATGGCGAACCTTTTCTTGTTGCAGTACGACCACGTACGTAACGGTCCTTTGGGACAAATTTCCTTGTAACATATTCGAAAAGCTCTCTTGTTTTTTTCGCAACTCTCATGAGAGCCGATACTATTTGCACCATAATTTGGTGAGTGACGACTTCCCTTTATTTTTTATTCTGACAGAGCGGTATCTTTCGGAACGTTGTGGTATGAGCGCGTTTATTTACGGTTATATGCCTAAATACATGAGCTGGTGCTCGGTTATTTTCATAAGTGGGCACTGGGTGCAAAAATAAGTTTATATCCAAGTCCGGTATTTCACCATAATTTTATTATCAGACTTTAAGGAATTTAAGCTGCAGGTTTCATGCTTATTTTTTCAGCTACCAGCTCTATTATCTACTCACACCATGCTAAACTATAGTGAGGCCGGTGAGTACAAGTTCAGAGTCATAAGTTAAGGTCCAATATATTATCCTGTATGTTTATACTACATCCGTAAAATAAGCTATTATTCAGAGCTTGTATGTAAAACAAAAGGAGTAACAGTAGGAGTAACAGCAGTACAGAGGTCAAACTGAAGTTTAAATTCATGTCTAATGGAAGAGGGCATTTCTCTGCCATTTTTGTGCTTTCAAAACAAAAATAAACGGCGCATTTGATTGAAATTAATTTCAATTTAACATATGTACAGTCATTAACAGTCATAAATGAAGCACAAATATAATATGAAGCTATAAAGTCAGACTCTAAATCGAATCGAGAGAAATTTAAAAGTTAAAATGTCTATTTTACTAGCAGTCAATATAATATTTGTTTCGTACAACAAGACTTGCTGAATAGCAAAGTTGCGGCTGCTTTTAAAATCAATCCATAGATTTAAGTTTTATTGTACGGTGAAAAATGTGCAGTCTTTAAGTCTTCTTTATTTGTACGCCTCAAAACTGGTTAGCAATTATGTAACATTTCTTTCTCATAAACAAGTTTATCACATCATCAGATAAAAACATTTGAAAAACCATTACTAATAATGTATACTATGATTCGAATAAATTTATAACAAAAATACAGTCGATTTCTTTCTCAGTTATCAGCAATAAAGTTTAAATCAAAATATGTTCTCTAACGCTTTCACAAGACCTTGCGAGTTGTGATAAAGAATAATTCAAGTTAATGCCGAGCGGTATTCAAATATATTATTAATATTCAAATAACTTATTAATATTCAAGTAACTTATAATATTCAAATGAAATGGGTAGGCATTTTTTGTCCTGTGAAATGCGACCTCGGAGGACGTATTTAAGATTTTGAATCCGTTCAGTGCATTAAATAACGGTAGTTCGAGCGGTATCCGCTTCAACTACATAAATTACCTTGAGCAAGCTTTTAAAATGTTCAGGAAGAAGGGCATTTATTCCCTTCATTAACCAGTACAGTGCAGTAATCCTGGATTATCATAACTGGCAACATGACTTAAAATTATTATCCGTTATGTAATGGACCAAATCTAAAAGCCAATAACTACGTTTAAGATGTACATTGTACATATTAAGATGTACATTGTATAATCATGTAAGATGTATGATCCGTTAAAATGGAGTTGGTCCTTCCCAAATTGGCGCCATGTCGTCTGCTGTTTTATTAACTGTCGTGTGCTCCCGGAAACTCACTCTTATTATATGGCTGTGCCTTAAATAAACAAAAGTTCGGCAAGTACAGAATAGAGCGAGACCGCTTAAAACATATAATATAACAGCCCGGTGCCGATAAGTGCAGATAACTGATATATAGCAAGTGATTGCAATAAGATAAATTCGGAGTTCCGACAGATTTATTGAGTGTGGAAAAGGCTGTAACATCCAAATTTGAATAAAACCTAACCTTACACGTCCTAGATAATGAATTTGGAGATATTAATGTGTATAATTTATTTAGGGCGATGAGGCAAAAAATTTATTGTGAATAATTTCAGCATATTCTGAACTGTCTGTGCTGGCTGCACTTTTTGTTGGAGAGCTGTCTAAGAGCTCTTGCAGTTCTTTTATCGTTTCCTCCTCGTCAATAAGATCAATAAGATCTCGTTTTGGTTTTGAGTACGGTGTGGTACTTTTAATTTTCTCTCCAGTTCTAACAAGTATTGGAGTTGAACTTGTACTTCTTAATCTTCTTACCCTGATTGAATTGAAATAATCATCGTTAGTTTATGAGATTTAAGCCAATTCTTTCCAGGAACGAAATGCTTGTTATCATACAGAGTTAAAGTGAGATTCTAAAGGTAATAAATTTAAATTTTTTCAAAGGATGGCGTCCACTTTAATTCACTTTTTTTAGAACTTACAAACCGTTATTACACAGTATATTTCCAAAAAAATTAACTTCTAGGTAAATTTAACAAAACACTATGATCTGATATTGAATTACCTTTTCATCTTGAGCTTTGTTAACTCAATCCTATCCTGACATCTGTTCACCGAATCAGTACAATCCTGAAAATATTTCACATGAAATTTAAACTGATTGCCTTCGTTTCACGTTTGGTAAGAAGGAAATTTATGCGATTTAAATTGTTATTGCATTAATTAAAACCCCCTGTGGTTCTTCTAATAGGACAATAATATTTTATTAAAAGAACAACCAGCATCAATCAACAAAATCTTGTATAAAATATGCTTCGCACAATACTGACCTTACATATCAGCAAATGCTCCATGTTCTTCAGGCAGTTCAGGGTAGTAGCCATTTTTCTATTCTAAGACAAACAAAGTTAGCTGCTATTAATATCATAACGCAGTATTACAGATAAGAAAAAATATATTTAGTATGATTTTTGTGTATGTAAAAATTGTCCTTGAAAAAGTTTTGGGGTGACATTTAGTAGTTCTATGATAGAGAAAATAAAACATAAACACACGGAATATTGATGTAACATAAGCATAAACAACAATGAAATCTTCATTTTTACGGTATTTGTGATTCATCACAATTGCATTCTATATATATCCTAATTATTAAAACACAGAAAATGTAAGTAAAATTAACGAAAACGAAAAATATCGTAAATATTACTGAAACTCTCACGTAAGCTGTTTACACTTTACATTCTATGTGGATAAATACTTCTTCAAAACATTACAGTTGAGTGCCTTGGAAATTATGTAATCCCTTCAATTTACTTGTGGTAACTTAGTTTTAAGTTACGTGGTGACTTAGTGCTAACTAATAGATACATAACTCAGACATGAACTAAAATGTGCCTAAGATTCATGTTTATAAAAATACGATTTTACTATTATTAGCAGTCTCGCGAGTAACAATAATCACACTTATTTCAAGATATCTCAGCTTCTGATACTATTGTCCCCTGGTTCCAATTTGGTTCTAAAAATCCGGATTCATCTACTCTACATGTTGAAGGATAAGCTTACATATTACAAAACCATAATTTCAAAGTATTAATTAGTTCACTTATCCTTCAAAACAGCCATTTCCGTTTAATATTCTCCAGTACTGTTCTATTTATTACAGTATTAATATGGAAAATTCAAGAAACTTGTACCTATCATAGCCTATAATTCGAGAGTTTTTTATGTAATGTATTTTATTTATACTTTACTTTAATGGATTTACCTATTTAACGTCAGGATAACCGACAGGTATCATATAGGAGAGTAATATGACAGGCTACAACCAAAAAGCTCTTGAATTGCTGGATTATACTTGTAGGCAGCATCACACTAATATAACATAACAGTTAATAGTATGGTAGTAAAAAGCAATAATATAACTAGCATAAGAAGATGATTAGCTTTCCCTCTAGCATTACTAAGTAGTTTAATAAGATCCTACTCAAATTCAGCTGGTAACACGCCATCTGTCCGACAGCACTATTTTCTTGTGTGATATCTCAATTCTCAAATTTGGCACATAGAAACTCGCTCAAACTTACACAGATTATCTGTCTTATAACCACCATACTTTATGGAAAGTTTCCTAGTCGGGCAGATGTCGCTGTCGGACAGATGTCGCCCAATCGCAAACAACATACAATTTACGTAACTGAAATATTAACTTGTTCGATTGATTAAAAAACCTTTTGTCCAATTTCGATAATGTCTGTCTTATATTCACAATTAAATTCTAAACAATAAATAAATTGAAATATATACTAAAACCTGCATCATCAAAATAACTTACATAACTGAAAAAGTAACTTGTTCGATTGAATATCAACAATCCAAATAAAAATAAAGATTGCCGAAATGCCGATGTCAAAGCGGCTGGCCTATGAATATACCCCAAACTATGATATTTAGTTAATGAATATGATATAATTAAAGGTTAGTATAGCAACGGTATAAAAAACAACTTAAGGATGTATATCATTAAACATTGTTGTAAATCGTTCACTCCAATACCATGTCCGTAACAAATACAGCTTTCTGTCCAATTTAGATACCTTATAAGAACGAATTTCATGAGACTAAATTTTTCGACGACTAATTATTAAGGGAGACCAAAATTTCAGTAGAGCATATATGACATGAATTGTGTTGACCTTACATTGTTTATAATTAATATGATGACATGATCACTGTTCCTACTGCTGAACTACTTTGTTGGGAGGAAAGACCGTTGTGAAACTACGTAGCACAGAACTGAACCAAAGTCCTATTGTACTTGAAGGCTTAGGGTTAACTATAAAGTATTATATATGACTTTATATGCAAAATCGGAAAAACAAACTAGCTAAATAATGGAAAAATCATATAAATGGAATGGAAAATAATTATTATTAGTTACTATTATCATTACAATAAAAATTACATTAAAAAAAATTGTCATCTGTTAACTACAGTGCCCCTCTTAACAGCACCCGATGTTAACATTTTACCAATTGCAATTTGCAGCGCATACTAAAATCACCCGACAAAGAGCATTCTAACAACTACAGTGTAACAGTGGTCAGTGCCCCCTTCTAGTACCCCAACTATCTATTAAAGTATTAACTGCAGTGCCCATTACAAGGCACAAGCACCCGATCTTAGAACTCTATTAACTGCAGTTCCCGCTACCAGCACCCGATTTTAAGAATAAAGTGGAAAATACTTAATAAACAATATGACTTATATCAAAATTGGTTCAGTCAAAACAGCAATAATGCCAATGGTATAAATCGTATCTATTTTAGAAATCATTCACCCGAGGATTTCCAGAAAATAATAAGGAATATAAATAAAAGTCATACATGAGGAATCACCATCTATTGACAGTGTAAGCGTTCATGTAATAAATGCTTTCTAGTCAAATGTGTATCAGTGGATTAATTCAACACAGATTAAATAATGTCGAACTCTACAATTGAGTTATTGTGGACTAAAAAATATAGCAATTTGGCCGTCTCAACTGTTTCATTACTGAGTAGTCATCAAAGTGCTGGCAAGCATGACCGTGCCTCTTATACATTCTATACTATTATACCCCCTTTACTGTTTTTCAGACATTAAGTTGGTATATTCACGAATTTTATCAACTTTGGAGTCCCGTTGTGATTCTAGTTCTTTATGAAATCTTTTGAAACTTAGCACGCCTTATCGACAGATATGCCTACCTAAACACAAGGAAATGTTTTCAAAGGTTAAAGTTCGAAATCGTTGAAATTACCTCCTTATTAATATAAATGAGGTTATGAGTTTACATTTTGACTTTTTAAAATACCCTGACATCATAATCAAAAAGAGATGATATTTTACCAAAACTCATAATCATGGGTAGAGTGGACCGCTGCCAGTTTCTCTCTTTCCCAAACAAAAGTAAATGACATTCATTTGAATGACCGTCTGCAAATGAAGAATGATACCGAGAATGAAATCGGTCGCTCGCTTTTCCCATTCATTTACATTTATAATTGTAATAGATTAAAAAGAACTACCTGAAGGTATCTGTACTCGGCAATGAAGATTCAATAATGAATAAACATCAGCTTATTGGACACTAACTATACCGCCCTCATCCCGAAATACTAGGTATCGACCAGAACGCAACCCAAAGAGATTTTTACAGCATGTGATTGATGCGATTATTCGAAACTTATTACAATTCGTAAGCCGTGAATGAATGGGAAAAGCGAGCGACCGATTTCATTCTCGGTATCATTTAGCATTCGCAGACGGTCATTTAAATTGATATCATTTACTTTTGTTTGGGAAAGAGAGACACTGGCAGCGGTCCACTCTACCCATGGTTATGGGTTTTGATTAAATTACACACAAGGTTACACACTACAGTCGCCTTTACAGCCGCATTGGGACCAGCAAACCGTACATTTACATCTGGTACAAGAACTGCCGACCCTACAAGAGCAAGAACGCATCAATTTCTTAAACTCGTCATTTTCTTTAGTGTAGATCCTATTTGTCCATACGCTGAGCAACTTACCTTCTTTTTGTTTCCAACCCCAGTCGACGGGATCTGGTAAGACTGGATACGGTTCAGCTGCACTCATCCAAAGGAACGATGCCACGTATAAACTTCTTTTGGCATGTTGAAACAGCGCTGGCTTAGATGGTGGTAATGACCGTAAAGTAGTGATGTTCGACGACAAAAGTTCTAGACGGGCCACAGCACTTCCTTTCTCCGGATAAGCAACCCTGTAGACTCTCAGCACAAAGTTTTCTAATTTGGAGAACTCGCTCATGAGTAGGGAAGGTCTTTTAACGAGAGATGAAAACAAAGTCCCCGCCTCATTATTACTTACGTACTCTTTCAACCACGCTGACTTTCCTCTACCGTAGAAGCTTTCAGTAAAGTCGCAGCCGGACAAGGAATGTAAGAGGACTAGACCTAGAGTTCGGTCCATGCCAACATAACCCGCAATAAGATCTATGTCAATACAGTTGGACTGATTTACTCCTGTAATGACATATATCTTACAACTAGGCCTAGCCTCTCGAAACTTTCCTAGGAAGGCGGTAACAATAACGACAACGTCAGTGTCGTTACTGATGACAGTGATCTTTTCGAACTTCTTTAACGCGTCCAAGATGTGGAGGACAATGCGGTAATCAGCTTCCAGTTGTGAACTCCCGACGATGTCAGTTATTCCCTGTCGGTTCTGAAGGACTTCATCATGCTTCGTTAATACGAACTGTTTGGAGCAAGTGCTAGACTGATCGAACATAAAAGATATGAGCTGTTCGTACAGTTCGCACTTGTTTTCATTAACTTTCATCAGATTTTCCGCGAACTTACCGGGAAATTTGTCTTCTGGCGTGAAGTTTACCATACTCCCACTCCCTCGACCCTGGCGAGTGAACTCTTTGAGGATATTGTCCTCTTTGTAGTTGTCCGTGACAATATCAACCCTCGAATGAGCTGCTCCCAGCAGAGAAGTTCTATCCCAGACAGCTTTATAAAACTGGGCCATCTTGAAATATTTACCGTGACAAAGGGCAGTAACGATGCAGCTCAAGTCGATAACTACCGCCTCACTGTGATGTCCATTAGTGAGGTCGACAGTAGATACCTTCTTGAGACAGTCGAGAAGCTTACTCTTTGATGACCGATAAGCTTCACCACCCCTTGTCAGGCATGCTGGTATGTTGAGGTACTCGTAATGGAGGGCTTCCAATGTCTCTGTAGGTCGTTTTTGAGAAACATCTTTCAGCTTTGAGAGAAGCTTTACTTCCTGGACAACACTGAGATGTTCGGGTGTTATCTTAAGCTTCTCTGGATGCCCTGGGAGGAGTATGTTGGTTGTTGTCAGAGCGTCCGTGAGTGGTACTCTGCACGTTACTAACCTATCCATAACATACTCCTCGTACCTCTTCGTACCGTCCGCAACAAGGTTCTTCATAAAAAGAGAGACCATTTTGCTCGACGGCACCTGTTGCCGATTATTCAGGCAGACCAGAGAGGAATGAGAAGAAAATGGATCGAATCTCTCCTGAATGGCACTCTTTAGCAGACGGAAGTCAGAGAGAAACGTTTTTTGATAACCTACGCGATCACTGTGGTGCTTCAACTTCGTAGGATCGCTCTCGATCTTCTCTCCAAAAATTTCCGGATAACAATCTTCATACTCCGATAGAAGACGGAGCACCTCAGGGCAGGCCATGTTCCACCGGTCTCCAATATCTGTACCCAAAGCTCCGTGCAGGCTTTTTATGTCTTTGTTCAGTTGTTCATAAGCCTGGTCAAGAGCCATAGAGGAAAAGGGCCGACCGGTCCTCGATACAGTAAAATTGCCGTGCTCAGAAAATTCTACGTAGATGTCAGGGTGAGAAATTTGAATTTTTTTCAGATCCTCTAAATGAACAGAAAGCCATCTGCTATAATGCGTATGGTTCAATTGGAACATATACGGCATAATCTTCTCAAGGCAAGCGATGTACAGCTTAAAATTTCTGGATCTTATTGAGTATTTGAAAGTCAAAAATAGCACACCGAATTTCAGCACACAGTCCCAGTATACAAACATTTCAGAATCTAACTGCTGGTCCTCTGTCAGGCTTGATTTCTCCTTCATGTCATAAAGGACTGAGGTGACCAACTGAAAACAGAGGTTGGTTATCTTACCATTCAACAATGAATAATTATAGCTAGAACTACATCGACAAATCTATTCTGCGACAAGAAGAAAGCTATCTTTCTTGTTCAAATAGGAATGATATGGAAACTGAGTAATCGTTGGAGTAAACCTTAAACCCGGGGATTCGCAAAGAGCCCTTTTTACCTGAATCAACAAAGCCGACCGTGCGATATTATTCGAACTCAGGAGAGCATTTCCCGCAGACTCGACTGATAAGTCTTTTGTGAGGTCCATCACTTCTTTTAGCCCAGTTCCAGCAACAAGCTGGGCGAAAATCTGTTCCAGCACCTGAATCGAACAGAAACTTATCAGAAGCTGCCGAACAACTATGATCTATTTAACAATTCTCATCAGGTAATAATGCTATAATACATCAGCATACATTTTAATATAATATGCACATTATATGTAATATACATTATAAATTATTCAGTATACACGTATGCATAAGAAGTTTGAACAAATTTGATAAGTCTACCTTTTCGATGTGCATAGCTCCCATTAATGGAAGGTACACTGACGGGTCGTATCCGGGAACAAACCACTGTATCTCTTTACAGTTTGTATATACAGGTTGGTCACTAACGTCAATTGTGACCTGACCAGGGTTCAGATGTTGTGTTCCCTTCCTGGTCGGTAATGGTTACTTTTAAAACCCGACGAATGTAATGTCACAAACCTAGTTTATTCTAAATAAGAATTGTACAATGCGTATTATGATTTAAATGAGTAAATAACTAACATTGCTATGTTTATCGTATGTCGAGCCATTTCATGTGAGTTAATAGACTCCTTCTGTAGTGGTAAGGACCCCAGTAGAGTTTTTTCTACAGGAGAAGCGTTTCGAGAGTGGTATGTTGACCATGAAAGATTCTCCAACACACAAGTTGCTTTACTAACATACTCCAGCCATTTCAGTTGTAATTCGTAACCGGTTTTAAACTGAAAGTTAGTATAATGAGTCGGGTTCGATTTTACCAGTCTGCGTGAATGGATTAAGTAAATAAAGTATATATTCGTTAAGGACTGTACCTATTCAAAATATACAACTGATATATCGGCTGTAAAGTGTAACGTTCTTTAAAATTGTACATTTAACAAATAAACAAAATATGTCTTGAAGGATAACTCAGAAAAAGTATTAACTTCTGGTAAAACTTACTTCGGTATCATCAACTGGAAGAGAATTCACGTTGTTAAGAGGAGCTGAGAACTTCTTTGGTATATACGTCCGCGTACAGGATTTCTCAAAATTAAAGTACTCAGCTAGTTCGTTCTTCTCATTAGATTCGTCATATAGGGTAAGATTTCTACGCTGACCCTGCTTTCCTGGATGATAAACCTGTTAGCTTTAACGCTTATTATACAAATTATAGAGGGGGGGGGGGGGGGGGGGTAAAAGTCAGTACCTATACGTTGGCCTTAATAGCTCAGTCACCGAGTGCCCAATCGAAATAATTCTTTCTGGTATGACTTACTAAGTTACTACTACCACTGGTACGAGGAATCTGTCAAATCGAAAAATTAGGTTAATTTTCACATTTATTTGATAGTTTGGATAGTCGGATCGAGCCAAATTTTATTGAATTGCCTTTGGCTATTTAAATTACGTTTGTCCTGAAAAAATGAGAGTTCTAGCTTCTCAGATGACCGAGATATAAAGCATAACGAGTTCGTTCATTACGTGTGATCAGGTGATTGGGTTGAGGCTAGATCAGCATTATGGGAATCGTGCAGAGAGCCCAATTACGGTGTCGTAATTGGGTAATCATTGAGTACCCAGTCAATTTTGCTAACGAGATAAACAACGGAATCCTCGAAGAAGTAGGTACAGTATGCCATCTGCAAAGCAACAACTCTCAAATATAAAACACAGCGGTGGTATAAGACCAAACGTATAGGTACTGAATTTTGGCTCTCCTGTATATTAATCATTATATATATTTATCATGGAGGTTGGAGCCTTAATACTACAACAATCAAATTTATATCATTATTATCTTTGAGTATGTGGAACGACTCAAACTGCAAGGAAAATGTTATCGCAATTTTGCACTGCCCAGCACTAGTATTGCAATTGGTAAAGTTTCGTTTTACCTTCTCTCGGGAACTGCATTGTCGACATTACGGTTCCATGGAAATGTCCCTTTCCTTGTATGTTGGTCCTGTCTGCATCCAGGTTGTCTTTTCCCCACAGTAAAATTACACCGTAGACACAGATGGTTGGCACCACGATTGTTTTCATAGTCTGTTTTGCTGCTTCTCCCATGTTGGTCATCAGATCAAGGCAGCGTCTATAATGTGGTAACTGAAGTAAACACTCAGATGATTATTTTGAAAGGGGTTGTTTGGAAGTATGCTACCTCAAATTTCCAGTTTAATTTTAAAGCGGTCACATCCAAATTTGCAAATCAAATGATTTAATGAGGAGACTAAAACCTGTCCACTGGAGTGTAAAGTATCAACCGAATTAGCACTTTGTGTGGTAGCATATAGTTTCAACGCCAGGTACTGTATAACTGGTGACTCTTTACTAGGATCTCGTCTCCTATATCCAGCATCCTGTAAATTAACCAGTTAAAAAGGATCAATAAACTGTTTCGTTACATGCATAATATGGAAAAGAGTAAGCTTGAGCTACTGCATGAATTGCGATAATCGTTTGTGATTAATTTCTTTGAAGGAATTCCATTTACTATGGACCAATTTTGAATCATTGATAACAATTACCTGATTTCTTACTCTGTCCATCATGTTGTATTGAATTACACTCGCAATACTGTCAGCAATGTACGCAAATTCTCCTATACTAACAGGTTGACCATACAATAGTAAGTTTACGAGTTCTATCAGATCATCAGCGGGAGATTGGTTGCGGATAATTTCATCATTGAAGGTACCAACAAATTTATTATCAATGGCAAGCGACTCATTCCTAACCTTCTTAACTGAGTCGTCCAAGGTTTCTTCACTGAAGTGAAGTTTGCCTAAACCGTCGAATAGTTTTTTGTTTAGACAAACATACCCTTTTTTACCATTAGCATTTGAAACAACCGTTAATTGCTCGCTGCAGTGGGTTTTCAGTAGTTTTAATATTTTGAACTCTGAGCATGGCAAAAGTTCAGATTCAATATCCTTCAAACCGATGCAGAGTTGTTTTACTGATCTAGAAAACATATTTACAGCATGTTCGGAACTGAAAACAATCCGATCACTCTCCTCAATGATACAAATCATCTTCTGTAGGGCAGTTATTGTGAGTGAAGCAGCAGAGTCTAAAGAAGGTGATTTTTGGCTCACAACTGAGGCCGGAGAGGAACAATCCACACTTCTCATCGGGGTTGTCTGACTTGCTTCCTTATCAGCTTCTGGTGGAAGGAGCGATGGTTGTGGGGTGACCTCCAATGATTTCCTCTTTTGCCTCTTAATAGGTGTGTGTATTTTTGCTGCCTTCCTTTTAAGGGTTGTTAACGAGTGTTGCACATTGCAGCGTCTGTGATACACAGCCGTTTTTGCAACAAGGGTCCTAATGATGCTCTCCGATTGATCAAAGTTCCCGTCCCATCCCAGGTTGAAGAGATTCGGAGTTATCCTCAGGCCTTTTTTTTTAAATGATAGAAGATTACCAGCGATTGTCTTGTAACCCTGGGAGCTCTGGCCAGGGCAAACAAGCTTGCCACAATCCTCCTGAGAAAGTAAAAGTTTAGGCGAGGAAAGGGGTTTTGTGGGGTGGGGAAGGGGGGGGGGGGGGGGGGGGGGGTTGTATTATCATTAAACTAGAAAACCCGTGGTCACAGGGAAGAAGGTAATAGTATTTTTATCTATCTTAAGTAATCAGTTTTTGTGGCATCAAAAATAATTCTCTGAATTATAAGCAAGAAGATAAGGTAGAACCTGATTGTTGTTCATTAGTTTACGCTCTAGTAAGTCGCGATTACAGCAAATGAAATCAAAATCGGTTTCTGAACTGTTTAGAAGCGTTAAATTCAGTGAAGTATATCATGCTTTTAAACTCTAAATACTTCAGGTTGTAATCCTACACTATTCAGCATTCCATGTCACGGTACCCTAAAGGCCTAAACATTCCTCATATATTTTCTTAAATGTAACAGAAACTGAGTATTTTGATTTTATCTGCTGTAATTGCTACTTGCGTAAAAATAGGTTTTGGGCTAATAATTCAACAACCTAATGCCCAATTTTAGCTCCTTACTCCAAACAGAAACCGAGTTATATCAAGTGGAGAGATGTGTGTGTAGATATCCAAAAAGAGCGTGGTCAATTGCAAAGTTCCCCCTCAGCGACATAACAAAGGGCCCCGGCAGGGCCCTTTTTTGGAGCACACTTTGATAATTTATGTCAATACCAGCAAAGTTCAATATGAATAAGCAATATTTGGATGGAAAAAGGTATACGGTATATGAGCCAAAAATAGCCAAAATCTGTCGATTTGAGTTCGTAAAATACAGGTAAGGGGGGCAAATCTGATTTCATAGGATTTTTCTAATATTTTTCCCATATTTCATGGTTTTTATGGTTTCCTTGCTAAAATACCCTTAAACAATCACATAAGCATGATTGATGACCAATTGCATACGAAAAAACAGAAAAATGGGACAGAAACCGCTTAAAAATCGATGAAATCTTAAAATTTCTAGTCAAAAAAGATGCTTTTTGTATGACAGAAAGTGCCAAATTTTCAAAAAAATTGATTTTTTTGTCCAGAAATGTATTGAAAGTTGTCCTATTTTACTAAAACTAATCATAATCGACGATTTAATCTAAATTCAAACCACCAAGATGTGACCAGAGGCATAAAAAGGCAAAAAACTGCAAAGTCACAATGCCCTATGAGATTGCCCCACTGTGCCTGCTTGGTTTGAAACTTCCTCGATAAGATTTTAAGTAATCGTTTCGTTTCTATAATGATCGCTTTGTAATCACTCTGTAACAGATCTGTAATCATTCTGTATAATCATTCATTTTGGAATTTGGATAACCATTTAATTAAATTACAAATTAAAACAAATTAACTAATTGTTCAAAATTTTGGGTACACACGCGAAATATTCCTGAAATTGAGTCTTAGGCGCAAAGTACCCAAAAATTAAGGCTGTGGCGCGAGTGCCAAAAAATTAAGAATTTTGCCCCCTATGAAGAAAATCATTCCTACACCCCTGGAAAAACTTGACTAGGGTACTAGCAAAGCTGCGCTCTTTGCTATAGAAACACACTTTTTAAGAGATTTTACCAGCGTATCCTCTAAAATCATTAAATTTAAAAAGTCTGCTAAAATTGGATCGTTCCAATTTAAGACCTTCCTTATAAATGGTGTAATTGTCAACATTTTTGGCCAAATTGAGCTTCTGACTCCAATCAGAAGCAGAGATATTTTTGTTTAAACTTATCATTTCATTTTAAACATGATTTTGAACCAGAAACATACTTAGGAGTGGTTAAGATCCCCGATGCTCGGAAAAGCTTAACAAGGTTTCGTATTAGCTGCCACAATCTTTACATTGAGAGGGGCCGTTACGAAACCCCCCTAGTACCAAGAGAACATCGATGGTGCACTTTTTGCTTTTTCAGCAAGGGGCTTAAGCCTATCGAGGACGAAATTCATGTTCTAACTGACTGTTTACTCTACTCCTCAGTTAGAGAAAAATTTAACTTCCATCCCAAAAATATTACTGACCTAGCCGGTTTGCTATCCGATAAAACACTAGACCCTACAAAATTTACTGCCACAGCAAGAGCAATCCATTCAATTCTCTCTGTGAACGAAAATTTTACAGCCTACTATAAGAGCCCAGATTTCCACTCAAATACTGGCCAATGCATAATGCTATAGGACCTCAAAAATAGTATTATATTAAACATTTCTATTTTATCCCTACACATCTGTAAATAACTAGAATTGTGTAACCTTAAATTATTTCAGAATTATAACTATTGTGAATTCAATAAAATAATTATCACTTTTGTATCCTTGTATCCTTGTATCCTTGTATCCTACAAATAATTTTTTGATGGGTCCCTTCATCTATTCTGAGTCCCAAACCCTGTTTTAAGACGGGAATATAGCCAGATCCATGAGTATATTGAAATTTTGGACGGTCCCAATGTTCAATCTAATGCTTAGATTTAGTTATCATAAGGAGAGTTGGTGTAACATAGCCAAAATTTTACCAAATTCCAATTTTGACAGAAGGCTACCCGATGCGGCCCACAGGCACTGGTCAGTGCCCCGAGTCCCCAACACCCTCAAAACAAGCACTGATCTGGTCTAAACGATCTCCTCAAAATGTCAGTCAGAAGCACTACCTATTTTGTTGGTAAAATGCTATTTTTACTGCAATCTATATTTATGTGAATTCTACACATTAAAACATATATGGGCCACCAACCAACCCATTATTTTCAAGTCAGCATTGTCGGTAATATTAACCCCTGCAGTAGGAATGGGAATGGGAGCTAGAATGGGAAGGAGATCAGTGAGAACCAGAAGGGAAACCGCATTTAACCTTCAGTCAAACCACAATATGAAAATTAATGAAGTCTAGCAATTACACAGAAACAAAATATTGAAAGATAAGAAACATGCATCGTTATAAACTTTTAAAAGGAACCTTTTCAACTGGAGATTCTTTGAAACACTTGTCTTTAAAACTTGACTGTTGATGCAACTGATCGATTTCCTGGAAGGAAAGATCGATTAGAGCAGTTTTTGTGAACAACAAATACATTATAAATATTGTACTTACTTGACAGATAAAGCATTTCTCCCAATTCATTTGTTCATTCTGATCTGCCAAAAACATTCATTATGAAAGGTAACAATAAGATTAAAGTGAGAATAAACCAAAGATCAAGTTATTATCAATACTGATAGGATAAGCTATGTGTTGTATGTACTTTAAAATGTCTATGAATAAATTCTTTGCAAAAATGATGTTTGTGCCCAGCTTTAAATTAAACTTTAAAATACAAAATAGGTCTTATGAATATGAAAACTTAAGTGATTTGTGATTGCCAGTTTACATGAGTAAGCCCTTATCGTTCAAATTCAATTTCAGCATATGATGAAGCACCAAAAATATTCCACTCTGATATGTTTGATAAAATAAAAGGAAACTTTAAATAAATAATTGCAATCAAATAGTGGACAACTCTTGGTTTCTTAAAATTCTTGCTTAAAATACACTTAATTAAATGTATCCACATTTGTACTGAAGTGTCGTTTTAAAAGATTTAAGAAATTCTGTCGTATATTCCTCCTTCATTTTTAAATGACGAAATCGAAATAATCAGCAACACCAACACAATGCAACTTAAAAATAAAAGTGAAATTGCAAATAAGATGCGTATAGCGCTCGATTTCTATCGACGATTCGATTTTTTATTGCGCAGGACGAGTGCGCGGCGTAAAAATCGCGATCTCGATGAACGCTGAGCGAATATTGCTACACGTACGGTGGTTAAAAATTATTTACATCTCGACTAAAACAATAGTATAAAAATTTTAATAATCGGAGAAAAAAAATCTGTGCTCGCGCTTGGCGCTTATTACACTGACTAATAGTGTCTTCGACACTGTAGCGTCTTCGACGCTACAGGGGGAGCCGCGCACTTCGTGCGCGGCGGGTCATACAACGTATGACAACAAAAACCGTAAGTCTCCAATTTTTTCGTGCGCGGCGGGTCATACAACCTATGACAAAAGTGCACTATGAGGCGCAAAATTCAAATGCTGCGCTTTTATGCTTTTTGGACGAGATATTTCGCAGTATTTTGTTAAATGTTACTTGTTACTGGGCTGCGCTCAGCTTATCATTCCGCCGAATCTTTATTCGGTTTATAAACATGATAGCCTGAGGTCCCCGGTAAAAATTTTCGCGATAATCGATAACGATTTTTGGGAAATTATCGCCGATAATTATCGGCCGGTAATATTGAATATCGAAGGTAATATTTATTTGTCAATTCTTCGCAGTTCGGCGAGGCCTTGACGGATGTTAATCGTCTAAATTTCTTTGAAGTAGCGCGCGCTGCTTTCTTCTCGAAATGCCGCAAGTGCTACGAAGTAGCGCGCGCCGGGCCAGATCATTAACAATGGTCAAGGCGAGGCCCAGTCTAGTATAGTAGTAGCGCATTTTCCAGACTAGATGTAACTACGTGGTTAAGAGAAGCATGATTGAGTGCACGGCGCGGTCCAGTAACGCATTACGCTACAAAGGTAATATCGAAGAAGGTCACTTCCCCTTCAAGAATGAATCAATTTAGTAGCTTCATTTTGAAAACAAAGGCATACATTATCATTTCGAGCCAATGTTTTGACGTATTAAACAACGATAGTCTGCATGCCGACTGGTAGTCATGGTAATTCGATAACTACTCTTCTTAATAGGATGATATTGTTCGTTATATTTAAATTTTATACCGATTTAAACGGTTCCTGTGTACAATGAGAGACTATAACAATTACTTGTAATATTACAAACTAAAATTATGCTGGGTATTTACTAAGATATTTGGTCTGATGGAAGGGTTTTGACAACCTTACCGACAATATTCTGATTCAGCAAAAAAAGATAAAATAAAATTTGGTAACGTCCAACTAACTTGAAACAATCGTTAATTCTAAGTAACTAAATTTTGTAAAGATCCTTTGGTTGTTTTAACCTGTTGTTTTGGTGTGTATTCCCTTAACCTACTGGTTCAAATAGCAGCCGAATAACATTCAATAAAACAAGAAATTTACTTTTTAAAGATTTTGCAGCACTGTTTAAAACCAATATCATTTTGTTCCTCTAAACTAGATCCTACGAAAATACTGATTAATGATACATCAAAAAGTTCATTCGCTTTGAATTGAAATTCAATCATAATAGTCTAGGCAGCGAAATATTTGCTCCTTTTCACAAACGAGTTCCCCTCATCAGCTCCGTCCAGCAACATTAAACCGTGACCAATCTCTCTTTTCTTCACGAGAGATATACCGTGTCCTACTTCCCGTTTCTTTAGACCACCGTTACCATGGCTACCAACAGTATCAATCTCTTCGCTGAGTTGAGCTTCTTTGTTATCATCTAGGAGCGGGTTTTTCATCCCTGAAATGTATGTTATTAAAAATAAAATCAATAAAATAGGGGGACTCATGTTGATGTAGTAACCATGGTAATTAGGGCTGGCATGGTATGGGAGCTGGTGGTATTGGAGTTGGTGGTATTGGAGCTGGTGGTATTGGAGCTGGTGGTATTGGAGCTGGTGGTATTGGAGCTGGTGGTATTGGAGCTGGTGGTATTGGAGCTGGTGGTATTGGAGCTGGTGGTATTGGAGCTGGTGGTATTGGAGCTGGTGGTATTGGAGCTGGTGGTATTGGTGCTGGTGGTATTGGAGCTGGTGGTATTGGAGCTGGTGGTATTGGTGCTGGTGGTATTGGAGCTGGTGGTATTGGAGCTGGTGGTATTGGAGCTGGTGGTATTGGAGCTGGTGGTATTGGAGCTGGTGGTATTGGAGCTGGTGGTATTGGAGCTGGTGGTATTGGAGCTGGTGGTATTGGTGCTGGTGGTATTGGAGCTGGTGGTATTGGAGCTGGTGGTATTGGTGCTGGTGGTATTGGAGCTGGTGGTATTGGAGCTGGTGGTATTGGAGCTGGTGGTATTGGAGCTGGTGGTATTGGAGCTGGTGGTATTGGAGCTGGTGGTATTGGAGCTGGTGGTATTGGAGCTGGTGGTATTGGAGCTGGTGGTATTGGTGCTGGTGGTATTGGAGCTGGTGGTATTGGAGCTGGTGGTATTGGTGCTGGTGGTATTGGAGCTGGTGGTATTGGAGCTGGTGGTATTGGAGCTGGTGGTATTGGAGCTGGTGGTATTGGAGCTGGTGGTATTGGTGCTGGTGGTATTGGAGCTGGTGGTATTGGAGTTGGTGGTATTGGAGTTGGTGGTATTGGAGCTGGTGGTATTGGAGCTGGTGGTATTGGAGCTGGTGGTATTGGAGCTGGTGGTATTGGAGCTGGTGGTATTGGAGCTGGTGGTATTGGAGCTGGTGGTATGGGAGCTGTTGGTATGGGAGCTGTTGGTATGGGAGCTGTTGGTATTGGAACTGGTGGTATTGGAGCTGGTGGTATTGGAGTTGGTGGTATTGGAGTTGGTGGTATTGGAGCTGGTGGTATTGGAGCTGGTGGTATTGGAGCTGGTGGTATTGGAGCTGGTGGTATTGGAGCTGGTGGTATTGGTGCTGGTGGTATTGGAGCTGGTGGTATTGGAGTTGGTGGTATTGGAGTTGGTGGTATTGGAGCTGGTGGTATTGGAGCTGGTGGTATTGGAGCTGGTGGTATTGGTGCTGGTGGTATTGGAGCTGGTGGTATTGGAGCTGGTGGTATGGGAGCTGTTGGTATGGGAGCTGTTGGTATGGGAGCTGTTGGTATTGGAGCTGGTGGTATTGGAGCTGGTGGTATTGGAGCTGGTGGTATTGGAGCTGGTGGTATTGGAGCTGTTGGTATGGGAGCTGGTGGTATTGGAGCTGGTGGTATTGGAACTGGTGGTGGCTAATGGTTCTATTGGTATTAGCATTGGGGCGAAACAGTATTTCTAATTCATTTCTAACGATGAATATTAACTTTTTGAGACAAGGTTTTACTTACAAATTTGATAGGAGACGGTGAACAGCTGAAATAGCAGCACAATCCTGAAAATAAAATAATCTGTAATTTGTATATCAGTACACTGTACAGTCTGATGACAGTTCTAAACATTTAACAATATTAATCTACTTAAACTTTAAGCATTTAGGTAGCAACCCATCACTCACCAGAAGAAGTTGGCAATCCTCATGATTAACCCAACAATTACACAGCGATAATCTCCTCTGAAGTAAGTGAAATATTTATCTGTTCAGCGGAACTACTGGATCATAACAACTGAAACTGAAAAGTAAAGTCCTCGGTGCTCGGCATTTAAAGGAGTTGTATACAAACCTGAAACTTGGCCAATGAAAACACCGACGTCACGTAAATCGGTTACTTTGACCAACCAAAGAGCTCGAGGAGTGCCTTCACGTTGTTATCACTCTGTTAAGTGCTCTCCGTGTCTGCTGATACGGACTGTTAAGTGCTCACATACACATTACTACAGTTTCTACTAGTCACGTGTCCTGTAATATCCCTGATCTATCCCTCTATATATGTTACTATTTGCTCTAATTAGCGGTCACGTACAGACTAATTTCATAATTATTAGACCACAGATCTTGTAAACTCAATAATATAATGCTATAACTGCAAAAGCAACTAGTCAGCAACTGGAAAAGGAAACCGCAACAAGCCCAAACTAGTCAAAACAAATCCACTTATTTCAGTTTAACAGGAAGCTATCTAAACGTGTATGTGAGCACTAACTATTAATCGGTGGAAACTTGTCTGGATCGCTAGGTTGCCAGGTTACCAGATTGGTGAACACTTATCTGCTTTGTAGGCACTCGTACTCAAGTTTTATTGATTCGCAGGCTTTAAAAGTTTAAAGAGCTTGGTAAACGAATCTCACAGCAGCATTTCCACCCATATCATATTCGCCCATATCATATCCGCCCAAAAAGTCAGGGCTAAATTGGTCGTATAAACTTATAATGTGTGGTTTTGATGGAAGTTACTGATTCTCACCGTTAAAAAGTTACCGTTAAAGATTTTACTGGAGGAGGTGAAACATTTTGCTAACCACACACTGACAATTGACAGTGGCTCAGTGGCTCAGTCGGTTAATCCGCCTGTCTACTGGCCCTGACGTTGTGAGTTCGAATCCCAGTTGGGCCAAAATCTCAAAAACTGAAGGGCAGCCGTCACTCACCAAACCATGGTGTAAATGGTAGTGGCTTTCATTAGAGCTAAGAAAATAACACGAGTGTATATGCCTGGGGTTGCTTCCCGACTATACTGCAGGGAAATCTGTACCGAAAGGACCGTGGCCGAAATGCAATTAGACAGGGAAATCGGCTCCCCGACTGCGGTCGACCAAATTATTATTAATATTAAAGATTTTACTGGAGGAGGTGAAACATTTTGCTAACCACACACTGACAATTGACATCATAACTACCATTATTGGAGGTCAAATAGAGCATGGATAAATGCTGCTCAAACCAGAAACCAACCTGTACGCCTGTATGTATGTACGACCGCCCACATTAAAAAAGTAAATGATATTTGAATGACCATCCGCAAATGAAAAATGATACCGAGAATGAAATAATACCGAGAATGAAATGATACCGAAAATGAAATGATACCGAGAATGAAATGATACCGAGAATGAAATGATACCGAGAATGAAATGATACCGAGAATGAAATGATACCGAGAATGAAATGATACCGAGAATGAAATGATACCGAAAATAAAATCGGTCGCTTGCGTATCTCATTGTCTCATTGAATATTAAAGTCATTATTATAAAGGTATATTAGAACCAGACAGAAACAAAGCCTGAACGTAACCCCTCGGTTTCAGTTCCTTGTTTAACGCCGCCGTACAGCAAGGACACCCACCGAGTCGCCAAGGCTGGGCACATAGCTCAATCCACAAGATGCTCTATCAAATTTTGCTTGTATACCGAGAATCTACAGGAAATATTTCCTTGTCGAACTCCGCTACGTGTCGAACTAGAGTCTATGTAGCGTACTCTAGTTCGACAAATAGTTTCTGCTTGTGATCCATGGGCTATTGCCGGGTCCTTATCATAGGATCAAATGGTTCAATAACAGGTGCACGAGATCAGAAATTAAGTTTAGGTAATCTTAAAAACTATTTTCTGATATCAAGCAACCAGCAGTTGCAAATTTTAGAACCAGTCAGTATAATCAATAATATTAATTGTAATTCTCCTACCTTACAAACTTAATCTACAATATCGATCTATAAAACGGAGTACGAGTTACCTGGGGCACCGTTTAGTCTACAATTGTGCTAACTAACAATTAAGTCTGAGGTCAGCTAAGCACCAGATTGTAAAGAAGTTATCATTATCAATTGTCTCAATCAGCTCCCAATAAAATTACATAATGACAATGTGCACATTACAGTTACACACACTATTGCATATTAGTTAAACAGCATGAGATAAGTGGAAAGCAAACCGCGGGGGTCTCCAGTCGGGGGTCCTGAAAATGTTTGAATTTTTGAGTTAGAACTCATGAGAACGTGCATGGCTCACGGAACGTTATCAAATTTCATATGAGACTCAAAATTATATGATAAAAAACTAAATTGAAAGATATTCTGAATAAAAATAGATAGAATTAAAAATTTTATCTTTAAGAATATCTTTCTCATCCAGTCGAAGTTCTTTTGCCGAACTTTAGTACGTGTCGAACTAAAGTCCAGGTAGCGCACTTTTAGGTTTGTCGAACTACAGTACGTGCATCGAACTTCAACTTGAGTGCCTGTCGAATTAAAGTATGTGTACCAGTTAGCCTGTGTATACGGCACGGACACTATATTATATGAACGTGTAATTAATTATATCACTTCGAGATGGCAGGGCCTACTCTCATGCTGTCTAATAGGTGATGATTAATTCTGAAAAACTAGGGACAACTGGGGAATAATCCCAGATGATTTCGCTCTGAGAATCAGGGTCAGTAGCTCAATAGGTAGAGCAAGACACACGATATGTCGAGGTTCTGGGATCATTCCCCAGTTGTCCCTAGTTTTTCAGAATTAATCATCACCTATAGACAGCATGAGAGTAGGCCCTGCCATCTCGAAGTGATAATAATAATTAAATGTTTCGCAGATTGGCAATTGATCGGTGTAGTTGGTGTTGTACACACTGCACTGATAATGATATCACGTTGAATGTGTAATGTAAATATAGTGTGGATATATGCGAATATATATTCTAATAACTGATAAATAATTATACACAAACATTTGTTTCAGGGCCACCATCCTACTTTTGGACCTGTAAACAGTGTCAAAACGAAAACAGTTCCACGACACAAACTTGCTGTAAATGCGGGGTCCTAGACGTCTGATAGTTACCAGGTTACCAGGTAACCAGGTTACCAGGTAACCAGGTTACCAGGTAACTATGTTACCAGGTTACCAGGTTACCGGGTTACCAGGACGTTACCAGGTCAAAAAACTTGCTGTTAATGCGGGGTCCTATAGTCGTCTAATTAATACAAGTTTACCACTTTGGATTGTTATCTACTTATCAGTGTCCTACGCGCCGCGGGATAAGTTGAAGTTGAAATACAATTTAACCGTGTGTCTGCGTTATGTTTGTTGCAATATGCAATCTTTCTGCAAAAGTCAACACGGTGTATACTTTTTCACATACATTAGATAAACAACATTTCAAACACTTATATTTCTAATATTATATTTACAAAGTATATATTTGTTAATTGAACACTTTTATAAAATCGAACGTTTATGAAATCTTCAAAATTTTATTGTGGATAAATTCATCATTGATCTCAATTATGTAATTTTTCTTCCAAGAAATTCCAAAGCGGCTCAAAATTATTGTTTATAAATTACGTTATCAGTAATTAACTCAACATTGCTACTACCGTTTATATTCCCAATTCGTCAAATCAACAGTTTTTAAGGTTGATATTGCAAAGGATAGCTTGACAACACATTTTACCCTGTTTTGCTGCTGATAGTTTAGAGCTTTTGCAGTAGGTTTCATAGTGGATGCACTGTTTGGAACCTAGGCGGGAGAGGTAGGATTCAATACTATGAGGTTAAAGGTTATCAGGTTACCAGGTTACCATGTTACCAGGTTACCAGGTTACCAGGTTACCAGGTTACCAGGTTACCAGGTTACCAGGTTACCGAGTTACAAGGTTACAAGTTTACCATTTTATATACAAAAAGTATATTACCTTTTTTTAAATCATCAGGACACCCCCTCATGTTGTAGTTAGAAGCTAAACACTCGCAGGTCATGCCCCGTAGTTGATGTCCTGAGCAGGTTGTCAGATTCTGTGGAGATTACAGCTTATTTATTAATTGAAGCTTATTTAAATAATTTGCGATAATCCATGAAGAGATCATGATGTTCGTTTAACGAATACAAACTGGACTAAATTTATTTGCGGATGTTTTGATTTGAAAAGTGATGTCTTTAACATTTTGATTTCTTATGGTTCATTGAGGCAAAGTGAATAAACCAGCTAATAAATAGTACACTGTAATATTGAAGGATTACTTATCAAGCTTAAAATTTTATACATCATATCTGTTTTTGTTTCTCCTTTTTTTGTTTTTCTTTGTTAGTCCTGAAAGGAAAACCTGCGTGTCAGTGTGAATTGTAAAATTGTTTATAGAAACGAAATAGGAAGCTGATAAACTTTTGCAGAATGAATCATCTTGAAGGAGAATATTAATTTGACACTTATTTAATAATTAATATTCCAATTACATTATTAATGAAGCAATATCAAATTAAGGGCGGTATCCTGAGAGTACGAAATTTGCGTCAGAAATTTAAGGGGATAGTTCACATATAATTACATAAACCAGGTTTTGGTCATTTGAGACCCCACTCCATCACTTTAGGAATATATTGTGTTGAAATTATTGATTATTCCAAACTCTCTACCCCTTAGAATTTACTTACGTAATATGTAAATTAACTAAATAAACTCACCTGGATTAACCAGCATTAATAAAATGAGGCACAGCGTGATCAGCAGTAGGCTCCGGGACATCGTAGGAAGAAAAGGAGAAATGACTGGCGGGCAGGTGGTAAATTGGTGGTAAATTAGTGAAGTATTAAAACTATCAGAACTTTATCACCAAGCTAATTATACAAAACAAGCAGGTGGTAAACTATTAAACTATCAGATTTAGAACCAAACTATTTATAGAACTAAGCTACTTATAGATTCAAGATTTGAGACTAAACTGCGAAAAAATAGCGATACACAAGATTCATAGGAGAATAGGGTACACTTTGTTAAGAAAACTAAAGAAATGTACAAATGTTCAAGGGAAGCAGCTTTGTAACCAATCTATTGATCTATTGTGTTCCAATGCACATCATTAAGTAAGGCCATCCTATGAGGTGTGAAAATAGCTACTCCCGATTCTAATCTAGCTGCTTAACAAGACTTGATTAGACCAGAAGAAGTTTAAATAATTCTAACGACATTTCTTAGCACATGCAAAATTTATTAAGAAATAAAGGTATATTGCCCCACGAGCACATGATTCTAGAAGTGGTCATCTTAATAAGTTCGTTCTATGCATAATGCATATGAGGTGTTATGTACTTGTCATCTCATAAGTTCATTCGATGCGGTGCGTAATATGTAGTTTTACCAGGCTATAATGTTCATAAAAATAATAGAGATTCGGCGGAATGACAGGCTGAGCGCCAGGTTACCAGGTTACCAGGTTACCAGGTTACCAGGTTACCAGGTTACCAGGTTACCAGGCTGAGCGCCGCCCAGTAATATAGTACGTAGTTGGGCATAGTTCTGATGAACTTATAATTGTGCAATCATCATATTAATGGTATACTGTCTGAATATTAGTGAATTTCTCTGTTGCTGTGATAATAAAGTTTTTTTTTTTTCATGTGTTTTGAATCATTTTCATGAGATTGCAGAGATTTCGTGAAATTGTTAATGAAACTATTAACTAAACGTGTTTTGAGAAAAATGACAAGATTGTTATAAAGAATCTATGTGATGTTTGTACTATTGCTGAACCTGCCAATTTTGCATTAATAGCTCACATAAAATTGTTAAAAGTAGTTCATTAGAGCAAAAATGAAATACACACACTACACGTAACACGTTGGGTATTGCTATTACAAAGGCCACACTCAATCAACAGATTAGGTTTGCACTTTTTCTACTTTGCAGTCTCTTTAATACGACCTCTAATACGGCCACCATACGGCCACTATACGGCCACTATACGGCCACCATACAGCCACTATACGGCCACCATACGGCCACTATACGGTCACTATACGGTAACTATACGGCCTCTATTCGGCCTCTATTCGGCTACAGTTTACTATGAATGTATAGTAAAACAAAACAATATTTCAATTCAAAAAGAAATAATATCACTGTCAATTATACATAAAATTATAAACAAAATTCAATTCAATAAGCTGCATGAATTATGGAAATTAATCAACAACAATTTATCAGTGTAAGGTTTTTTAGAATAACTGTTAAAAAGCAATTACAATATATTTTGTATTTTATCAATTTTATAAACAACTTCAACTAAACGTCAGGTATTCTTAAATCTAAAAATTTTTCCACATAAAATTCTGTTCACACAAAACAAGAATATTATCACGAAAAATAGCATACTAACGATGGTAATACCAAAACATAATAATTAATAACCTAGTAACCTAGTAACCTAGTAGCCTATTAACCTAGTAACCTAGTAACCTAGTAACCTAGTAACCTAGTAACCTAGTAACCTAGTAACCTAGTAGCCTAGTAACTTAGTAACCTAGTAACCTAGAAGCCTGGTAACCTAGTAACCTAGTAATCTAGTAACCTAGTAGCCTAGTAACCTAGTAACCTAGTAACCTAGTAGCCTAGTAACCTAGTAACCTAGTAACCTAGTAACCTATTAACCTAGTAGCCTAGTAACCTAGTAACCTAGTAACATAGTAGCCTAGTAACCTAGTAACCTAGTAACCTAGTAGCCTAGTAACCTAGTAACCTAGTAACCTAGTAGCCTAGTAACCTAGTAACCTAGTAACCTAGTAGCCTAGTAACCTAGTAATCTAGTAACCTAGTAACCTAGTAACCTAGTAACCTAGTAACGTTCCAGTTTATTGTACATGATTGGACCATTCACCCATTACCGAACATTGAATGGTTGAAGCAGCGTTATTGTCGGTCAAGTTCAATAAATATTAAATATAATTCAATGGATAATCCATCACCTCATATGTCTCCCATATCACAAATATTATTTTGCAAATATTACAACTATAAGCCATGGAATACCTTATAGTGTTTCCATCGTGTCAATTGAGCATTACCGACAAAAACATGGATTCAGTAAATATACATCCGGCGAATAGACCGAGTGTAAAATAAAATGGACTGACTAGACAAGTCATTCGATTTAATGATAATAAAATGATACAGTGCTAACCCTTCTCATTATAAGATATAATTGACGTTAATTATATTTACTGAACGAACTACAGTGGGTGACACTTATCATGATGGTTTCATTCAACATTAGTTTTTACAAAGTACCTATATATACTAGACGTGTTGGTAATATTCAAATCTTGATAACAAATAATTAATATTAATATAATGTAAGTTCTGATGAAGCTGTGTTTACATAAAAATCAATAAATAATTATTCCTTTCCAATAAAGATTAAAGTATCCGTATGTATTTATTGATTATTCAACATCCAAGCTGTTAGGAGAAAAAATGAGAATATTCTATGCGGCTAATAACTTAATAGAAAACGCCCAACCCGTCAACTTGGTGTTACCAAGGGAAGCAATCATATAACATGTAATTTAGGAAATAGTAAATACTAATAAGAATTATATAATAGGCTATATAATTACATAATGATACAATTAATTAATTAATAACATAACTAATGAAATATTACCATAATTTAAGAAGTAATAACATAATTAATGAAATGATAACATAATCATTGTAGTCTATCAGTTCGGCAGTCTATTAGAGATGTTTAACTAAATCAGATTGAAGATAACTGTTTTGCAGTTTTGCTGTCCGAGCGGAGCCGTAAGAAACATCATTGTGCTGGAACCTTTCTGGTGAAATAAACAACTGCAAACCTGCCAAAGAATAAAAAGTTGGGGGGGGGGGGGGGGGGGGGGGGGGGGGGGGGGATGACCATATCACAGTGCTGGCAAGCACGACCGGTGCATTTATTGTGGGTATACTATGTACCCCCTTTACTATTATACCCCCTTTACTATTATACCCCCTTTACTATTATACCCCCTTTGGTACACGTTACAAGCCTCTTTCGTGCACGCGAAGCGTGCACTCCGGCCGGAGGCGGCGGCCGAAGGCCGCCGCCTCCGGCAGGAGTTTTTCAGGCATTAAGACTCATCGGAAGTCGTTCAGCAGATTTATTTTTAGTTCAAAACATTCTAATTTGATGTCAAAGATGACAGGAATAAAAAATAGTTATGTTGAGATTTTTAAGAAATTTGCATAAAATACTCGCCAGCACTGTTATACGAGATTCGGTAAAAAACCCAAAATCGCCATATTCAGGTGCCTTAAAAACCATGTTAAAATCGAGTTAGAGATCTGAAATTTTTCAAGGTGTCTAGACGTTGACCAAATCGACTGCAAAAAAAGTTTCAGGTTTCAGGAACATCGGGAAGTGGGTTTTCTAGAACCCCTGTTTTACGACAGATTGTCGTGATATATACATATATATATATCAGGGATTTGACCAAAACCCATAATCATGGGTAGAGTGGACCGCTGCCAGTGTCTCTCTTTCCCAAACAAAAGGAAATCGGTCGCTCGCTTTTCCCATTCATTCACGGCTTACGAATTGTAATATGTTTCGATTGATTAGGTACATCAATCAGATGCTGTAAGAATCTCTTTGGGTTGCGTTCGGGTCGATACCTAGTATTTCGGGGTAAGGGTGGTAGTTATTACTTATTGAATTAGCTGAAGTTTATTGAATCTTTATTGCCGAGTACAGCTGCCTTTGGGTAGTTCTTCTTAATCTATTACAATTGTAAATGAATGGGAAAAGCGAGCGACCGATTTCATTCTCGGTATCATTTTGCATTTGAGAACGGTCAATCAAATTAATATCATTTCCTTTTGTTTGGGAAAGAGAGACACTGGCAGCGGTCCACTCTACACATGATTATGGGTTTTGGTCAAATATCATCTCTTTTTGATTATAATGTCAGGGTATTTTATAAAGTCGAAATATAAACTGATATCTTCATTAATAAGGAGGAAGTTTCAACAATTTCGAAATTTTTCCTTTAAAAACATTTCCTTGTGTTTAGGGAAGCATATCGGTCGATCACTGACTGAATATGCCACTTAATACTCATTCAAGTTGGCATTAAATTCATTTATAATGACATTAAACTGTCGTGGCAAAGCAGAATTTGTTGGAAATCACGAATGAGCAAAATTCTCACCTTTCGCACGTGCAAACTTTGAGCGGACGTTGCGTGCGCATCCAATATTGAATCGCCGTAAATTTTTGCATGATGGTGTTTTATATATAGCTTGATAAGCATGCAAAGTTTCAAAGTATTTCAAAAAGAACTGTAATCACAACGGCACTCTAAAGTTGACAGAAAATGACGAAAACAGCAATTTTCAGTGATTTTAGCAATTTTCTATCAATTTGGGCGTGTCCCCACGTGTGCAACTTTTCGATTTTTAACTTTAAAACTAGCCTAATGCACAATTTATACCTATAGGAAGCAGAACTGAGCTCCACAACCCAAGGCATGGCCCAACACCAGAGAATACTAAATCGCAAAATTGACGTTTTTATAAAATAATTCTTCAAAAAAGCACAAACTTCAATGACGAATATCTTTATGAAGGAGCAAGCTAGAAAAACTTTCCGGTAGATTTTCAGAATGCTTGAACAATTATCTAAGATAAAAATTTCCTCAGATTTTGAATACAATTACTTTTTAATGGTGTAAAATCATTTTTAAAAGTTATTACTTTGTCAAAAATCAAGTTTTAAAAACGGTTAACTTGATGACGTCTGTGGCAAGAGTTCACGGGTTTAGAGAAAAAGAGACAAGGAACTGCGTTGCTCT